AATACGTTATCATTCCTCTCTTAGGGTATAAAATACTTAAGGTACATATCACTAACTATAGCCTCAATTAATAGCTACAGGTCAAAAACTGCAAAAAAAAAAAAAAAAAAGAAAAGAAATGAAGTCTAGGGCAGTGCCTGTGGCTCAAAAGAGTGGAGTGCCAGCCCCGTATACCGGAGGTGACGGGTTCAAACCCAGCCCCAGCCAAAAACTGCAAAGAAAAGAAAAAAGAAATGAAGTCTAGGCTCAGTGCCCCTAGCACAGTGATTAGAGGCACCAGCCACATACATAGAGGCTGGTGGGTTCAAACCCAGCATGGGCCAGCTAAACAATGATGAGAACTGCAACAAAAAATAGGCTTTGTGGTGAACACCTGTACTCCCAGCTACTTGGGAGGCTGAGGCAAGAGAATCGCTTAACCCAAGAGTTTGAGAGGTTGCTGTGAGCTGTGATACTATAGCACTCCATGGAGGGCACATAGTGAGACTTTGTCTCAAAAAAAAAAAAAAGAAAGAAAGAAAGAAATGAAGTCTAAACATCTTTACCTTTAATCTGGGCTAGCCTTAGTGCTTTGATTAACCAGAAGACTACTGAAGCGACATCCAAGGCTAGGTCCTAGGAACTTTGCTATTTCTACACAGGTACTAAATGAACACTTATTCTAGGCCAGGCTCTAATCCCAGTACTCTGGGAAGCTGAGGCAGGGGGATTGCCTAAAGTCACGAGTATGAGACCAGCCTGAGCTAGAGCAAGACCCCCATCTCTAAAAATAGCTAGGTGTTGTGGTGGGCGCCTGGAGTCCCAGCTACTCAGGAGGCTGAGGCAAGAGAATCACTTGAGCCCATGAGTCAGAGGCTGCTGTGAGCTATGACACCACCGCATCCTACCAATGGCAACAAAGTGAGACTCTGTCTCAAAAAACAACAAATGAAACATTTAATCTCTAAGTCATATATCTGAATACTTTCGGGTCTCCAGGCTAAGAATACATGACAAGACCATTCAAGAGAGGCACTAAGACCACATGAAGAATGCAGCCCCATTCCACCCTACCTCTAGTTGTGCCAGTCCCCAGCCATTTGAGTCTTCTCAGTGGTAGGCCCACACACCAAAAAGCAGAGATGAGTCCAACCCACAGAGCCCTGCCTAAATTGCAGCTTCATGAGCAAAAAAGGCTGTTGTTTTAAGCTACTACATTTGGAGGGAATTTATTAGGCAGGAACAGATAACCTGATATACACAACCCTTCCATATCTTTGACTAAAGATAAAAAGAAATCACTCACTCAATCTCTTTTTGGGTGGAGGTAGAGAGAAAGAATCTTGTTACTACAGATTCACTTAGGTGGAGCAAATGAGTTCAACTGTTATAAAAAACAGCCCTTAACTGAAGAGCTGATATCCAAGCTGCCTTTGATGACTTTAGTATAGAAAAGAAACTATAAGCTTAAATAACAAAGAAAGAGAAAATATTTGTACAAATTACTCTTTTGATATTAAGCATCTAGTTCCATACAGTGCTTTGCTTTGCTGCAAGGTTGAGATTAAGCTAAAGGAGAATAGCCAATAGATTTCTTTCTTTTTTTTTTTTTTTTTTGAGACGGAGTCTCAATTTGTCGCCCTTGGTAGAATGCTGTGGCATCATAGCTCACAGCAACCTCAGACTCCCGGGCTTAAACAATTCTCTTGCCTCAGCCTCCTGAGTAGCTGGGACTCCAGGCACCCACCACAACACCTAGCTATTTTTAGAGATGGGGGTTTGCTCTAGCTCAGGCTGGTCTCGAACCTATGAGCTCAGGCAACTCGCCTGCCTCAGCCTTCCAGAGTGCTGGGATTACGGGTGTGAGCCACAGCACCTGGCCTGATTTCTTATTTCTTTTATTGGCTAAAGAATGTTCCTTAACCAATCATGTACCCCTGATGAGAGCTATGGGTCCTTTAGCCAGGCGCTGTGACTTACACCTGTAATCCCTTGCACTCTCTCAGAGGCCAAAACAGGAGAACTGCTTGAGTTTACGAGTTTGAGACCAGCTTGAGCATGAGCAAGACTCTATCTCTACTAAAAGAAAAATTAGTCAGGGGTTGTGATGAGTGCCTGTAATCCCAGCTACCTGGGAGGTTGAGGTCAGGGAATTGCTTGAGCCCAAGAGTTTGAGATTTCTGTGAACTATGATAGTCCCACAGCACTCTACCTAAGGAGACAGAGTAAGACTGTCTCAAAAATAAATAAATAAATAAATAAATGTGGCCAGGCTCAGTGGCTCATGCTGTAATCCCAGCACTCTGGGAGGCTGAGGCAAGTGGATTGCCTGAGCCGGTTTAAGAGCCTGAGCCAGAGCAAGACCCCGCCTCTAAAAATAGCCAGGTGTTGCGGGAAGCGCCAGTAGTCCTAGCTACTGGGGAGGCTGAGGCAAGAGAACTGCTTGAACCCAAGAGTTAGAGCTTGATGCTATGATGCCACAGCACTCTACCAAGGGCAACAAAGTGAGACTCTGTCTCAAATTAAAAATAAAATGTATATATACACATATGCATAAATACACAACATGTCAAACAATGTCTGGCTTAATAAAAACAGCTGGATTTTCGCATCTGCTTCAACAATTTGTTGTGGTATCACAGACCATGCTAGTTTCTAGAAAACTCCACTCAAAAAAGACAATGTCCCTTATGAACATTAAAACAGTTTGCCCTTACAGAGCTACTAGAAAAAATCTGTTTCTGTGCTAGGTCCTTTATTCTTTCATGTATCTCTTAGATGACCTAACTTGAAACTGTAGCAACAGATGCTACAATTTATTTTATAATTCTTTCTGTATATTGTTCTTTCATCAGACTATAGTAAATTTCAAAATGCTTCCCAGACAATTCTAAGCATCAAAATAAAAAGCTGGGGGGAGGATGGGTGGAGGGAGGGTAACTGGTGGGACTAAGGGTACAAGTTCAATCTACTAAGTGTAGAATATAAATGTCTTAACACAATTAAGAAAATGTGGTGAAGGCTATGTTAACCAGTTTGATGGAAGTATTTCAAATTGTATATAAAACCAGTACATTGTACCTCATAATTCCATTAATGTATGCAGCTATGATTTAATAAAAAAATAAATAAATAAATAAAGTTAACAGCCAGCCTGTGACTCCTCAAAAATAAAATAAAATAAAATAGGATGGCACCTGTGGCTCAGTGGGTAGGGTGCTGGCCCCATACACACAGAGAGTGGAGGGTTCAAACCCAGCCCTGGCCTAATTGCAACAAAAAATAGCTGGGCGCTGTGGTGGGCGCCTGTAGTCCCAGCTACTCAGGAGGCTGAGGCAAGAGAATCCCCTAAGCCCAGGAGATGGAGGGAGGTTGTTGTGAGCTGTGACACCATAGCACTCTACTGAAGGCGATAGAGTGAGACTCTGTCTCAAAAAAAAAAAAAAAAAAGGAGAAAAATAAAAGGCTAATGAAACTTAAGCATTTATTTACATCTGTCCTTTCCTCCCTGGTAACCAAGGAAACAACTATGTAGTTACAATGCCATTTGCATACCAACTTGGGAATTAATCTAAATTATAAGTAGACCCATCTAAAATTAGATTATGGTTGAACTTTTAAAATGTAAGTGTACATTTTGTACAATAGTACACTTCCACAAGAACCTCACTAGGTCTTAAGTGCTTATAAAACTAGGTTAAAAACCAAGGGAATAAGTGGGTTAAATTAAAAAGTTCAAGTACATCGTAGAATTGAATGAAAACCAGTTTTCTGAATAACTATGACTAAACAAAAGGTCCAGAAATATTTTTAAAAGCTAAAGTCATCTAAAGAAACAAAAGCAACACCACACAAAAACTTTACTAATTTAAAACTCGCTATATAGCCGGGCGTTGTGGCATGCGCCTATAGTCCCAGCTACTGGGGAGGCTGAGGCAAGAGAATCACCTAAGCCCCAGAGCTGGAAGTTGCTGTGAGCTGTAACGCCACATGACTCTACAGAGGACGATAAAGTGAGACTCTGTCTCTAAATAAATAAATAAATCTCGCTATAAACATGGTTAACTACGATAGAATAAGAAAGAAAAACTTAGGGAAAATCAATCACTCCTGAGTGAGTGTAAATCCTAAATAAACTACTGATACACTACGATAGAGCACTTTGTAATATAACAGGCAGCTTTTTGCAAATATTCTGCAACTACTCTACGTTTAAGTTTTCCTACTGTTTTCCTCAAAAGTATCAGTCATCTTCGGGATAATTCCCAAACGAAATGTTTTCCGTTGCCCTAGTGGTTTTGTTCTATTTGTTGCTTACTTATTCTGAATGCTCTTTTACAACTGGAGAGTTGATGAACCAATCCCGAGTAACAAATGGGAAAGTACAGAGAAGAGGCAACAGCTCTGTAACCCCACACAGAAAAAAGACCCAGAAAGCAGCAGCAGCCCCTGCCGTAGCGGCAATCCGAACCGAAAGTACTTTCTAGATTCCCAACAACATCGGCTATCGTCTTTCTCACCGAACCCCCGCACTCCCCGACGAAGAACCAAAAAGTAGAGTACAGCCGCTTTTCAGGGTGACGGAGCCTCCCAATCAGGGATTCTCTCCGGTTACATAACTGGGGCCTAAGGCCCTGCTTCTGCGATCAGTCCTCTAGAGAAATACAGGCAGGTTCTCCAGGGACTCTCTCAAGGAGGTGGAAACGGGCTCTGCACCTGGTCGACCCGGGAGAAAGAAGGCGGACAACGTGAAGGAGACCACGGCCAGAAGTGCCGGAGCATAGGGGGTGATGAGCAAGCCCGGAGAGAGGTGAGGCGGCTCCAAGAGCCCGGCGCCAGGCCCAGACATCTCCGACCCTAGTCCGCTTCCCTCCCTCGCCTGCCCAGTCCCCATCGGCCACCCCCTCCTCCAGTGTGCGTTCCCCTCCCCCCCGCCTCCATCCCCAGCCCAAACCGAGCGGCAGGCAGATCTGCGAGGCAAGCCCCCAGCCGCCGCCGTCGGATGGCTCCCAGCCCGTTACCTGGTCAGACATGATGACGGTGGCTTCACCCGGCGGTCTCCGCACAGCAGCGGCCTCGGGTAGGAAGAACCTCGCTCCGGGGTTTACAAATCTGTCTCCCTTCCCCACAGCACAACACCACGGCTGTAGGGACTTCCGCTACGAGTCGCGTCACTTCCGCTACGTGCAGGGAGGAGAGAGGGAATAGCCGAGAGAGACGAGGCGGGAAAATGCGTGGGGGAGAGGCCGAAAGGCGGGAGGGTTCTACAGCTGCTTTACCCATGGAGTGGTCGCGCAAGAGTACAAATCTCATCCACTCCTCCAAAGACCAGGCCCCTGTGATTCAGCTCCCGGAGCACAAGCCCCAGTCGCAAGGTCTGGAGCCAGACTGACAGCCTAGACTCCTCCCACTCGGGCACCCTGCGGGTTTCTGACCGCGGAGGTTTCTTTTGTCTCCTCCCAGCCTTGCTCCTCACTCCTCCCTAAATATATTGATTTGAATGACAGTGCTTCTAACCCTAAAGCTAACATTTTCTGTGAACCGGCCGCCTGTCAAAACAGCTGACGTGGATTAAAAACAACAGATGGCTCGGCGCCCGGAGCTTAGTGGTTAGGGCGCTGGCCACATAGACCGGGGCTGGGGGGTTCGAACCCAGTCCAAGCCTGCTAAACAACGACAACAACAAAAAAATAGGGCGGCGCCTATGACTCAGTGAGTAGGGTGCCAGCCCATCTACCGAGGGTGGAGGGTTCAAACCCGGCCTCGGCCAAACTGCAACAAAAAATAGCCGGGCGTTGTGGCGGGCGCCTGTAGTCCCAGGTACTCGGGACACTGAGGCAAGAGAATCCTGAGGCACCCAAGACTTTGAGGTTGCTTTGAGCTATAACGCCATGGCACTCTACCAAGAGTGACAAAATAAGACTCTGTCTCAAATAAATAAATACAACAACAAAAAAATAACCCCAAAGGACACAATCTTGATGGCTACTGTTGAAAAGGACCACTGCTGAAAGTTCTGAATTCAGGGTTTCAAGAAGAGTAGACTACGGAGGAGCTAATTCCAACCCTTGAATTGGTTGCTTTGAATTAAAGAATGACCTAAGATTTCTTCTTTGAAATGCAATGATTCTAGTAGGATAAGGGTATGAACAAATAGAATAGCTTTGAGAATCCAAAAAGTAAATCATGAAAACCTCACATTTATGTCAACAAAAATGCCAAGATGTGTCAATGATGAAATAACAGTCTTTCCAACAATTGGTGCTAGGACTACAGAAAATCTATCCACATGCAAAAAATGACTTTGGATTCCTACCTCACAACATCTACAAACTTAATTCAAAATGGATCAAAGATAAAGGTAAACGCAGACATAAATCTTTACAATTTGCATTAGATGATGGCTTCTTAGATGTGACACCAAAACTATAGGCAACCAAAGAAAAACTGATAGAAAAATTAATCAAAATTTAAACTTTAAGGCCAAGTGCAGTGGCTCACACCTGAACTCCTTGCACCCTGGGAGGATCCCTTAAGCTCAGGAGTTTGAGACCGCCTGAGCAAGAGAGAGACCCATCTCTACTAAAAATAAAAAAAAAATTAGCCTGGGCATAGTGGTGTGGTGGACACCTGTTGTTGCAGCTTACATCTAGGAGTTGGAGGCTACTGTCACCTAGGCTGATGCCATGGTACTCTATAGTCTGGGGCAACAGAGGGAAAGTCCGTCTCCAAAAAAAAAAAAAAATCACAGCAGTAATTTTGTCAATATCAGGTGGCAACTGTGGCTCAGTGGGTAGGACGCCAGCCCCATATACCGAGGGTGGTGGGTTCAAACCTGGCCCAGTCAAACTGCAACAAAAAAATACCCGGGCGTTGTAGCGGGCACCTGTAGTCCCAGCTACTTGGGAGGCTGAGGCAAGAGAATTGCTTGAGCCTAAGAGTTGGAGGTTGCTGTGAGCTATGACACCATGTCACTCTACCAAGGGTGACAAAGTGAGACTGTGTCCCAATTAAAAAAAAAAATCATGTAATGTATGATCATTTGTTCCTAGTTTCCTTCACTTAGCATAATGTTTTCAAAATTCATCCAAGTTGTAGCACTTTGCTCCTTGTTATGGCTGAATAATAATTCATTGGGTGGATATACCATAATTAGTTTATCCATTCATTTGGGTTTTTTGTGTTTTTGTTTTTTTTAAAGACAGAGCCTCACACTGTTGCCCTGGGTAGAGTACAGTGGCATCACAGCTCACAGCAACTTCCAACTCCTGGGCTTAGGCAATTCTCCTGCCTCCACCTCCCAAGTAGCTGGGACTACAGGCACCTGCCACAACACCCATCTATTTTTTGGCTGCTTGGTTGCAGCAGTCATTGTTGTTTGACAGGCCTGGGCTGGATTCAAACCTGCCAGCTCAAGTATATATGGCTGGTGCCTTAGCCTCTTGAGCCACAGGCACGGAGCCTATCCATTCATTTGTTGATGGGTGTTTGAATTGTTTCCACTTTTTAACTGTTATGAGTAATACTGCTATAAACATCTGTGTATAATTTTCTGCAAAGAAATATGTTTTAGGCTCGGCTCCTATAGCTCAACCGGCTAAGGCGCCAGCCATGTACACCTAAGGTGGTGGGTTCGAATCCCCAGCCTGGACCCGCC